GTATCGGCCCCAAAGGCGGCAAATGGCGAACTTGAAAAATGTTGACAATTGAATGACAAATTATTGGCTTATGCTTGCCTTTTTATAGCCACTACCACGAGTTACGAATGCCATGACTTGCACGTGCATTTTGCTTTACTGTTTTCCTCCATGACATCTTTTAACAAGTCTGAAAACAATGCCGTTTAAGACATTGCAAATCGACAATGGCTACGTTTTGACGCACAATTAGTCGAATATCAGGCCACAAACATTTTCCAATAACATATATCCAATTCATATACCGAATTGTTTGTGTAGCCAGGTTCCGTGAACTACATACTACCTGTGCGTTTCTTTTTTTGAAGAGTGTATCTGAAACAATTATACTCGGTAACCCCATTTTCATACCCCATTGTTGATGCCATTTCAAGTGACATATGTATGTCTTGAAGGCAAAGTTAAGAACACGTTCTCTTTCGCATGTATTCTTTATTTTCAACGGGGTGTTTCTCTAGCAGACATCTGCAGTTTACAGATACATTCTTAATCTTACTAGCCACATTAAAAAATATATCCTTATGAGACACAGTTTTTTATAAAGGCGTGTGTTCAAAGTAGATAATGGTATAGATATATTTGATAGTGATTCTCACATTTCCTGTTTCAATAACGTTGGAGCCTGGTTGTTATTTCATTTTGATAAAGATAGCGATACACTGGGATAAGGTAAATACTATAAGGGAATCACTGTATGATATTGCTTGCATGACAGTTGGGTGCTAATAGACCGTTATGTCACGAAATAAATTATATCAACTTGGCATCAGCTGCTACGCAAAGGCGAGTGTTTTGCGGATTTCATTCTCAAAGGCTGTGTGTAAGATGCGGGCACGGTTCTACACTTATGTTTTTTTGCTGTTTAGTTTGCTTTTCATATATCTTCATATCAAAGTCGCATATCCGTTAGAAAATTCACACCTTTTAAAGTGTATACTGTTTTACTTAGCACATTGGAAGCAATCGTGGCCTTTGTTGTGTGAATGAATGTCGAGTCCACACTAAGACGTATTTTATTGTTATTTCCTACAGTGTAGGACAGTGTAGAACGCATTCAAATTTTCAACACATACAAATTTGTAAGGGTTGTTAAGTTATTAGTTCAAAATTATATTTGTTTTTGTTTTGTTATCAAAGTATTAAATTGTAAATCATATTTCGTTTTTGGCAAGTGTTAATTCATATTTCATTTCTTTTCCATTCCAAATTTATGTTTACTCATCATAATATGCCAGGGGGCATGACTGCTTTGAGTCATATATTATTTTCCACGTGGCCTCAGAAAGCATGCAGCTACAATCATTTGAATAGAGTAATAACTGAACACATCTATCTGACTCAACAAGGAAGAACATTTATATCACTGCATAAAATTGACTTCCTTAATGACTGCACAAAAGCACAGTGTCGTGATTACAAAGATGTAGACACATACTTATAAGTATTTGGAAACAAGAGGTACAAATGTGTTAATTGAATTATAAAGTATAGTTCTAAGAGGTTTTGAGCTTATTCTTGTCACTTATTATAAAACATAGGGTCTATCGAAATAGTCGATATGGTGATGCAAGTTCATGTTAGACTATAGATTTTGTGGTTTTCTGAATGAACCCATCGCTTCTCAATAACATCTTCGATTACTATAAATTTCGTATTAAATGCACTTTTCAGATACAAGATTTTTAACTTCTCTCTGCGTCATGCTAAATGCACATGTTGACATGCAAAGCATTTGCTTTAGTATGCCTTCCTGAGAGGTTGATAGTTCACCACAGGTAGGGATGGAAACTGTTCCAAATGTCAATGAAGATATCGACTGGAAACGAGAGGGAAAGTGTTACGTTACCATTCCACGCTGCATGGTCCTGTTATGACTTTTGAAGACAACAACAAAGCGCGGATTCATTTCATTAGGTATTTTCAAATTAGAAGATTCAATATGATTATATTAATAGCCAACTGTTGACATTCATGTCTAAATAGTAGTGATAGAACCCTAAGTCAAGGTTCGACATATCCGTGAATGTTAATCGCATTGATGGTTGCTGTCAATTTAGATCAGGTACATTTGCAGTCGGGATACCCCTTTTACGCTGAATGGGGTGTAACGAATACTTTCTTTTGTGACCCCCCCCGCCACCAAACCTAAACAAATCAAGTTACCTTCCTTGCCATCTTAATACGAAGGAAATGATAAGATTCCTTTCCATGGTGGGACCCTTCTCATTGTGATTGTGTAGTACATGTACATCATAAGTACCCATGTTGATACACAGCTAGTTCCTGGTATTGCTTTATACATAATGTAATTGTCGCCATAGAAATCGCTTATGTATTTCCGTATGATGAAGAGTGTAACCCTGTCATATCCTTCCTGAAATACAATTTAGCATCCCTCAGCTTGCAACTCTCTATATATTTACATCAAGACATTTTATCACTGTACCGTTCAGCTTTCTGAAAACACAAACTGTCCATCATGCTACCTGCAATGTACAATGTAAACAATCTATTTACCCCAACATTATTTTAAGTACTACTTTCAGTACGTCGCTAGCAACAGGGCGTTGTTTACAAATAACAACAAATATATCAAATAATTATCAATTCTAGGAATTGACTGTTACTTCCTGGTCTACACAGAGAGCGCACTACATGAGCTAGTGATGTTTACACAATCTACGAAGTGGGATACGCGATACTCATATCGGTGTATGCTCCATAAGTAATTTTATGTGTATTTCAAATGGATAATACAATGGAACACACAAAGATGTAAGTTAAACTTCTTTTCTTATGAAAAACATTATTCATTCTTCTTACGTTTTCAGATTTTGTCATGTTTTGCAATAAATTCTTTGCAAGCATAACCAAACTCAAGTTACAGATAGTGTAGTGTCTAGTCCGGACTAATATACATTTTATTGTTCTAGCCTACTGACATACCACGCCGCAGTTTAACATGTACCCCACTCAGACACAGCATACTGACTCCGAGCCGACCAGTCCTTGTTTTAGCATGTTAACGCCGAGCCCTAGACAGCGTAACAACAAGGACCGTCTTTTGGTATGACGCGGCCGGGGATCGAGCCCTCAACCTTCCGCCCTCCGGTCAGACACTCTACCACTAGACCACGGGGGCCGTTGAAAAGTAAATCTGTATATCTCATATGTGTGAGACAAATATCAAGTTACTCGCGCGGGTCATGTATTTTTACTTTTTGAGTACGCCGACAACGCCAATCGGTTCAATCTAAAGATCAATTACTGTTCATACACATTTACTCACATCGGTCTCGGGAGACATTGATATTGCCTTGACAAATTATGGTTACTTCCTGTTCAATGCAAAATAAGTCATCTTCCTGTTCGGTGGAGAATGTTTGTATACGAATATGGGGTGTGTATACAACTGAGCGTCACCTGCACCTTGGTAAATGTTCAGGCCATGCCGTTCTAATACTTCACATACTTGCCATAGCTACTTAAATACATCCTTTCTATTCCGGACGCAGCTCTAGACCTGTCTCAATGTGGTGCTGCCACCTCCTGACCATGCTGCCAGCATGCAATACTAACCACCTGCTAGACAGGCTACACCTAGCTCTGCGAAGAGTGCGGGTTTCGGTTCTGGAATATGAGAGAACTAATCTATACCCTTCCCAAAGAGTAGGGGATCATAAACTTTCTTAGGTTGTTTGCACACGTACAATACATCGTCAATATGTTCTGATGATTGTCATGTTACATCAAGACCTTCCTTTTTTGTATCCATCAATTACCATTACTCAAAACCGTTTTGTATTTCTTTAACCATCTCTTATGTTCAAATATCCCTTTGTTTAAAGCAATACCTTGAAGATTCGGTTATGTAATGACAAATTGATAATTAAAATGAATTGACTCAAACAGGTTTAGTTTTAGTCAGACCCATAAGATTAAAAGGACTATATTATCATTGTTCCATTGATTAATATAGGGTGTGTTGACATTCAGTGCTTTGTGTTACTGTTATGCGGAGTGGTGCAATTAAATATGGTTTCCAGGTCATCTCCTTCATTAATATATTAATTTAAGCCGCATGAATAAACTTCATTAAATTAAGATATTTGGAGACTGAAAGTAAAATGGAGCTAGATATGTACAACGTAGAATTTGATAAATGAACACATGAAAACAAAGTGGTACTTGTATTCTATAAACTGTAAATTGCACATTTTACTCAATCTACATTGTTTCAGGATGTTAACATATGGAATAGATGTCAACTGGTTATACATCACATCAATAGTTATATCGGTTGTGGAGAAACCACTACCAGATTTTGATCACGCTGTAAAATATACTGTCCTAGTTATGCACCTTGGTGTAAAATATTTAATATGGTTGTAAAATGAGTCGTTTGGTAGGGTAAGATAGACACAATATTGGTAGGTAGGTGGGAGAGGATGATTAGGGAAGCTTAGGTATAGAACCTGGTATTAACCAATAAACTGTAATAAATATATGGTCATGACTAAATGACGATGGCAATTAAGAACGATTTAGTTGTCAATGAAGACAGTGATGTTTGAATTACATAAAATAGTATACACATTACAGTGAATAGTTATTTCAAGAAGTCAAGTTGCTATCTATATTCACGGTACATACAATTGTTAAACTTCAAAATATTGTAGTTGAAATATCGAGGAATAGTTTTTTATTTATCCTATTTTAGGAATGCTTTTATGAAATTGGGCACTCAGTTTCACTACAAAAACATTTGACATTTGGACTCGTTTCAGCGTGTGTGAAAGATACAATGAAAATATAAATTAAGATTTGATTTGAGGACAGTTTCTCGTTTGTTGGCGAAATACACAAGTATTACCACGATCAGATCATACATAGAATTCGGGTGGAATAGATGATCATAATATCTGTCACGTCAAAATGGAAAGCTGTAAAGCGTGACTTACCTTTTAGATTGCAGAAATGAAATCGATCATCTATGCCCATCTACAAAGCAGGCCTACTCATGCAAATAGCCGTGTCAATGTCGCTTTGTTCGTCTGATGATTGCTGAAAATAAATTCATAGACACCATAAGGGAGGATGCTTTTTGTTTATTGCATATTCGGGTCATATTTACCTATCATTGGCCTGATCACCTGCCTAATTATGAATTATCAGACTGTTTGTGTTTAGAATCTTACGATTTAAAAACAAAACAGCAGAAAGGTGTCAGAAATCTAGAACAAAACAGTTTACACTACAGTCGAAATCCTTCATTATACTCTTTCCACATACATAAAGGGCTTCAAGGCAGAATGTATTCATCAGAATTGGTATTGTTATTATTATTATTATTATTATTATTATTATTATTATTATTATTATTATTATGTACAGAATAAAATAAAAATGCAGCAAAGCGGGTTTGGGTGATCCTATCACAGTCAGGCTGGTTAGGCTCATCATCAGCTCAGGGCCCTTGCCTCTAAACGCAGCTCAGACAGCGAATGGGACTTCTCCAAGGACGCGCTGCCTAGTCAAACACATCAAGAACTTTTCGTAGAATGTGAAAACTCCCCAACACTGCTGCATTACCCAGATTGTCAGAAGGGCTGTATTCCTGGTAGAAAACCCGGGTACTCTCCTAATGTCAGTCAACAGATTGGGAGGTACCAAACCTAAGGCACCGAAAACAATGGGGAGTCGGACAACTTGGTACTTGGGATGCAAGCGTGACATTTCGAAAGCGAGGTCTGCATATTTGCCATGTTTTTCCTGAATCTTGTCAATCACATTGATGTCAAAAGGGACAGAACATTCAATGATATAAATGATTTCATTGGGTTTATCAAAAAGGACAAGATCAGGTTTGTTGGCCTTGATACGTCTTAGGCTGTAGGCGGGCCTATTCCAACGAATTTTGTATTTATCATTTTCCATGACGCCCTCTCCATATTCCGGGTCGTACAATGGATGGACCTCTGTGTCAAAACCACAAGCATGGCGAAGACGGTAATAAAATGATCGAGCCACTCGATCATGTCGCTTAAGATACTGTGTTTGTGCCAAAGTTGGGCATCCACTGACAATGTGTTGGGCAGTCTCATTAAATTCATTACATAATCAACATATCATATTTACATTTTGATGCAAAATCACACATTGACGGTTTCGAGTAGGAAGTGACTGGTCCTGAGCAGCAAACAGCAGGAAACACCCTCCGACGATGTTGTACCAGAGTTAACGCAATAATCAGTGGCCCGATACTGTCCAAACTGTTTCTTATGTGTATGTAGACTTTTGATTACTGAGTACTAGATGCCCAATGACTAAGGGCGGATGATTATGTAATAATCAATGTGTAAACACATATTTTGCCATATTGCCCCGTAACCCCTAGTTCAATTACTGTCAATCGTACAAACGTACAAACGTCGAAAGAGATGTGCTGCAAACTAGAAGTACTAATACCTGCGATAGAATCACGGGGATCACGGGGCTTGTAAGAATGTGTTTTCCGTAACCTTGTAGTGACTTGATCCAAACTGGGAGTACTAATTACTTTCTTTGAAAGAGAGCTTGAACCATTAAACTTTCTGATTTTAACACCTAATAAGTAAGCATGTGTTTTCCCAAACCGGAAGTTATTAAAAAAGACCAGACGTATAAATCTCTGAATTTTAAGAGAGCTAAAGCCATGACGAATATCAGAGCAGTGCTTTTGTTTTCTTAATAGCCATTTGATGGTCATCCAAATGGAGATATGTGTATGTGAAACTGATGATCAAAGTATGGTACTGGAAGTATCGTTTGGCCTCGCCGGTTGCAGCTATATTTTCAAATAACGCACCCACTAATACTTCCTTGGAGTTTCCTTATCTTGTTGATATACGTCGTTACAGTTTCAATTATTCCAAAACTAAAGTATACAATAATAAATAGAATATTCATTAGTTCACTTTAATGCGCGAATTGCCCATTATAATAAACCCTTAAAGACTAACGAGACACTTTCAGCCCAATAGATTGTCAGCATCTTGTTCTTCAAGGAAAGGACAGGATTTGTAGATAATATGCTTCTATAAACATTCATGATATGATCGGTATTAACGTTTTGACTAAACGCGAATGCTAATGGGAATTTTGTATGGGTGGCAGGAATTATAGATTTATCATTACAGTCAGACCATGCATAACATTCACTAGAATGTTTGCTATTTGCATCGATGCAGAACACATTCTTTTTATACCTGTCAACGCTTTAAGGTCTTTGTACTCTTTAAGGTCTTTGCAGTGACCAGTTTATTAAAGGATGCATGTGATAAATTTCTATTTAAAAAATAAAAAGTTATATTTTAACAGATTTTGTGGAAGTAACCTTTTGTTTTTCTTTTGTTATTAAAGATAGAGCAGTCCAGTAATTTAAATATATTAAAATGTCTTATTTCATGAATGTAGCTATTGTATAGAGAGAGTATATTGCAGTAAAGGGGCCATCGGCCCATTATACAATACATATTTCATTGATTTTTTTCAATTGAGCGCTATACAATATTATACATTGCACAATCTAAGTGACAATTAATTAATATTGAGTTGTTTACATCTTTTTTTCATTGACAGGAAAATATATTTCGCTAAGACATTTACAGTGTAAGCATTTTGTGATGACAAACATAACAAAACTTCTAGGGACTGTTTATTGTGTAACAAGCATGCCTTTGATTATGATAATCACATCATATTACATTGTGAAGCTCTTCTGCAGGAACGAAATGAACTGTTTTCAACTTTGATTGATCTGCTTGATGTTGAAACCTATGTCCAGTTGGAATTACAAGATGAAGAAGCTATGTTGTCATTTTTCTTTGGCGCTGATACTCACTTCTCACAATGTATTGATATAGTTACATGGGAATCTGTTATACTGATATTTTCTTCTTATGTACTTACACTAAAGGCTTACCTTGATTATGTCATCTGATCTAACCTTTTGTACTGTGTGAATGGCATGACACTGGTGCTACTGTCTTGTATTGTCTATATGTCCAGGTAATATGAGTTTGTGTGAATACGTTTGATTAATTATGTATAATCTTCGGATTAACTTCTGGAGGAAATAATTAATCTCTCTCTCTCTCTCTCTCTCTCTCTCTCTCTCTCTCTCTCTCTCTCTCTCTCTCTCTCTCTCTCTCTCTCTCTTAATTTAATCAAAGCATTTCTATAAGGATGTACAATGACAAGTGATAGGTATTCTTCAAATTTAAAGACTGGTACATTTTAAATTTAGAATATTTTGACAAATTCTCAAACCACATTTGGTAGTCAGTCTCTTTACAACACTCTTTAAACTCTGACAAAAACTCGCCCGTGTTAGCTAAAACACATAGAAGTGAAAAAACTCAAAAGGTTTCCTTACACATTTCACCATATTCAAAAAATCTGATATGTACATTGCTACGTTACAATTGTTTGATAGTTTTATAGTAACTACCATAGAATGAACCATAACCGAATATTGGTAAATCAATATAGTGATAGACTGTTGATGAAGTCATTTTATCTAAATATAATCCAGTTTGTTACTATCATCATCTAACCTCAATATTGATAAAAAAAATTGTTTTGATTAATACCGCTGTAAAGCATATACCTTGTCGCTGTGTTTGCAAAACCATACAATTGTTAACTGGGTCAAAGTTAAGTGAAGAAATGTGCATACAAAGTCAACATACGCTATGTTATGTCCCACTTGCTTTGGTGAATTACCTCCAGGTAATTACCTCCTTCTCTAAATGTGCCCAGTTATACACACTATGTTTGGAATATACAGACAACGGAAAAGCTCGACAAAATACATTTTCATCCAAAATGATTTGGGTGTGTAACATTCAACATGTATTCATGTTTCAATTTATGTGTATTGATATAAACTCTCAAATCTGCCGAGAAAATGAAAGCGTACACTTTCCAAAATGGATTTGACCAGTAAGATACAAACACTATTTATGATGCCCGTATCAAACATCTTTACTATGGCGGAGCTTGTGAAGGCTCCCGAAAGTCTGCAGGAGTGACTCGTTGGATAAGCTAAGATATCACGGCAACTTCTACCTTTGCCGATAAGATTCGAATTGTATTAAGACATGTAATGATATAATAATTTTCGATATTGTGACAATATTTTGCTTTTTAACATATCAGTAATGACGTGATAGTTCAAACACCATGCTTTCAACATGGCGATACACCCTCGTGGTATTTTGTCGCCTCACACACGGTACACATAATTAGATGTGATCTATTATACGTTACTGGCAAACTTGACTAACTGTAATTACTTGAAAGTACCATACAATGCATGATGGGGGTAATCTTCCCCGATTTTTTTACGATAACATGGCTATTCCCTACCCACCTGTAGTTTGCACGAGGTCTTCATGATTGTCCATTGCGCAGCTTCCGTGTGACACCGTCGTCTATTATTAGTCACAAGTCATTATACATATTATATTTTCCTCAACCATTTAATACTGTGATAAGAAATACTGACCGTGCTCTTGAAGTCATTGGCCCGCCCCGAGATTATTATAGGCGACCAATGCTAGTCTTTTGCCTGGCCACACTCTCCTTTGAACATACATTTTAACTGTATAAAATGATCAAAATGTTGCCAGTATAGTACGCAAAACAGTATTAAACAGTGGTCACAATGATCGAAGGATGTTTTTCACGTGGACTGATACACTAGATGTGAACACAAATTCACTTCGCAATCGTGTGAAACAAAAATTACATTTACAAAGAACTTAAACGGGTATTTCTTGTTCGATATTTGGACTTTATGTCGAATACTTATATAGTAAGATTTTTTTTATCAACACTGAAATCCTGAAGACATATCAGCCTATATTTTACACCTCACAGCTTAGTGACGTTCCTTCTTTTTAATATTTGACATGTTTGATTAGTATACATAACGTATGATCAGTACCCTTAATGTCTCTGGACAAAAAAAACTAGGATATTCTTCGATATTCTTAGTAGGCATTCGCTGTCCTGTATTATCGTTAGGTGTAAAGGCAACTCCTTCTTGGTCATACCGTGAACAGATTATCACAATGCTAGGATGGCTACTAATTCTTTTGAAAGGATCATTAAGGTAAGGAACATGAACATAATCATTTGAGGAATACCTCGCGTCAGTGTGACCAGGTTAAACTAATCAAACTGTGATAAAATCCAGCGGTAACATCATATACTAGTTTACATGAATTACATACATGTTTCAAATGGTGATTATGGGAGAAATATTTTTGTGTTGACTATCACAAGATATGCATTGCACGTTTGTTAAACTTGTTATCAATGTCTCATGACAGATATCCAAAGCCATGCTATGTTTTATGTAAATATTCAGATCAATGTAATCGTGTAACATCAACTTTAAAAATATTATTGTTGACTTATGGTTTTGGTCTTGTGTGAATCACACAAGTGAGTGATATAGAGGTTATCATGCGAGTGTGTTTTGGGATGGTATAATATCCAGTATTAGGAATTAACATACATGTTTTTAGCGAGCCTTGGTGAGGTACATAGATAGTTTTTATTCCTAATACAGAATATTTACCATCCCAATGACACAAGTGTGATAACCTCTTTTTTACATAATTTCATTCTTTAAATCTGTGCTCGAAAAAGCTTCTATGGTGTGTAGATAGTATTTCAAAAAGAAGACTTACGAACATACGCTTAGCGTTTTGAAGCATAACTCCCCTCAAGAATGTATTCAAGTGTACATAAGTGTTTGAGGTTATTTACAAAAGCTGTCGGGTTGAAATCGTCATGATTTACTGTTGCTCTTTGTTCAGAACCTAGCTCCATATGATTATATAAAACATGTGTATTAATTGTCACAGTCCTCATTGAAATTGTACTTCAAGATGTATTGAAAGCTCATGTAATATTAGAATGCTACGAGTGCCTAGACACGATAACGCATGTTTACACATGCCACTGTATAGTTAGTCAGATAATGTTGTGTTGCTGGAGCCCACTTAATACCTGCAGCCTACTATCATAGAATCGATATAGCTATCCTTATTCCGAATTTGTTTAATATGCAGAAATGGTACATTCGTGGAAAAATCAATTTATACAAATGAAAGTTCAGTTGTTCAGTAGTGGAATCGATAATCAATTAAACGTGAAGCAAACAGTAGTTCCGCCACTATTATTTGTGCATAGCAACGAGCTATTTGTCACTGTTTCATGATTCCACACGATTTACACCGTAACGCATTCCACTTAAAGATAGGGCAGATAAACAATGAATCGCAGTGTAACGTTTTTTTATCTTGTTTATAAACACATCAGGTCCAAATTATGAAGGCATTTTCGATGGAAATTCCCCCCAGTCACATAAGGAACGGAATCCAAATAAAAGCGACACATTCACAATCTAATATTAGTTTTAAAGCGACAATAGAAGACTTGCTTGTTTGTGTGTTCTTTATTTTGGTATAAAAATATATTTTAAAACTTGTAGAACAAGACGTTCCAATTTTCGTACCTTTATATATATATATAAATGACTATGACGGACTCGTTAAAGAAGTGAAAGAAATCCAAGGGAAGATCACTGTGCTTTCTGGAAAAGTTGAAACAACAAACGAACTGTTGAAAGATTTATTGACGGTTGCAAAGGCAACACAGATGAAACAAAACATCACAAGTGAGCTAATCACAGATTTAGCAGTGACAATGAAGGGTGAACACGTAGGCACCCGTATGGAAACGCCGAATTCACGGGATTCAGTTTGACATCCTCAAGACAATAAAGGTGACCACATTCAAAATCCGTACATTGCAGAAATACAGAATCTTAGTAGAAAGAGAGGCATATAGACAGAGGAGGTTAATGGAACACCTATGGAAATCTATCCGAAATGCACGGAGTAAAGCTTTTTGGAACTATCTAAATGTGAGAAACCACTGCATCATTTATGAAACGTGGTTGAATGAAGAACACATTATGCTGCCTCTTAAATATCGCATTCGACCAATAGAAGGCGAGAGTGATGAAGCAAAAGATATTCGTATCAAGCTAACAGTTCAGAGATTTCGAAGTAACATTCAGCTGATGCAAATAAACGCGGATAATTATCGCCGAAAGTTTGATGACACAGATGAACATATGCGGGAATTGCTATATAGAAGAAATGCAGGGCATGTACTTGATAAACTTCTTAAAATCTGGAAAGATGAGTGCAACAAAGATGAAGAAAATGCATTTGAAAATTGGCAACTAAAAGAAAACTGGTTGCTGAGATATCAAGAAAGTTATGGGAACAGTTTTTTTCAAAAATAAGAAGCAAACAGATCACACCCCTCATGCATCTGTTAATAAACCCGTTGTGATGAGGAATCAAGCATCCCAGATAAAAATGCCTAAGACAAATAACAACAAGTCAAAGGTTGTTAAATGCGGGAAAACCTTTGCCGATGCAGTTACAGTTGGGAATTCTGAACCAGTTCATTCACAACAGCAACCCCTTTCTCAAGAAGAGATACGAAGGCGCATTTGTAATAGATACAAAGGTGGGGATAAACTAAAGAATATTAAAACATATGGACGACAACAGGGTCCCAACGGACCAGGACGTGATCATAAAAAACAAATCGTTTGGAAACAAGTATGATGGTGACAACGTTACCTACATCGGAAATGCAATAAAGAAATAGTTTTTAGGAAGAGGCAGTTTCCACGAAAAGCCAAGACTCCCAAGGTGGAAAAGGCAGGGAATCACATAAAAGATCCTAAAATCATAAACCTGTCTTGTCATCCCCTCAGTGTAAATGAAGTCAGTTTACTGAAAAAAGGTTTAAAGTTTACACCTACACCTACGCCCAATCCAGAGGCTATCAAAACAGACTTAAAAAACTTTACTCGAAAAGTGAGACTGGCTGAATATTTTGAACCTGAAGAGGACAAAGACGTCAAATGGGATGATGACGCAGGCAATAGGAAATATGGTGAAAGTCTGGTGAAAATAAATCCAGTTCTATACCTCCACGCGGGAGAGAAACATATTTGGAAGACTTTTGTGATAGACTTGAAAGTGCTCCTATTCATGTAACACAAACAAAACAAAACCTATCTGAATGTGAATTGAAAGGCCTTACTAATCTTAAAAATAATACAGACATCGTTATTAAAGAAGCCGATAAAGGGGGTGCTATTGTTATCATGAATAAATCATTTTATCAAAGAAAGAAAATGTCCATTTTAAATGATGATCAATATTATAGCAATTGTAGTAAAAGAGAAGAAAAATCTGTCCAGAATAAGGTTAAGAAATTGTTTGATAAGTATGATGACGAAACTCTAGACAAATAAAAGGACTATCTTACCAATTTTGAACCTAAAACCGCTAATTTTTATGGCCTACCCAAAGTACATAAAAGTAAATGTATTCAAAAGGAAATTATTGATAAAAAATATGAAGTCATTTCTACTGAAAATCCCGAAGACTTACCATTTAGACCAATTGTGGGAGGACCCGAGAGCTGTACTCAGTGTCTTAGCAATTTCATAGATATTATTCTTAAGCCTTTATGTAAACATGTAAAAAGTTTTCTCAGGAATAACATTGATTTTTTATGTAAATTACCTACTGAGGTACCGGAAGGATCTATGTTAGTTAGTTTTGATGTTGTTAGTTTGTATTGTAATATTTAAACTGAGCTCGGACTGGCTGAAAGAATACCGTCATGAAATATCAGATAGATTTTCGGATGAGTTTATCATTGATGCATTGAAGTTGGTTATTACCAATAGCATGTTTTATTTTGATGGATCTTATTATTCACAAAAGAAAGGAGTAGCCATGGGTACTAAGGTAGCCCCTACGTATGCAACTCTTATGTTGGGATTTTTAGAGAATATGTTTTATGATAAGGTGAGAGATACTCTTGGCGAATCTATGAAAGAACAAATTGAATATTCATGGAAAAGGTTTTTAGACGACTGTTTTATCTTATTAAAAACCAGTGAAAGTCAACTTACAGCTGTTCATGAAATTGTAAATTCACTTAATGCGTCACTCAATTTCACTATGGAAAAATGTGAATCCAGTTTAACCTTTCTCGATGTAAGAATCAATTTAATATCTGGGAGATTTGTACAAACTGATATCTTTTATAAAGATACTGATACGCACCAATACTTGGATTTTGGATCATGTCACCCGTATTATACAAAACGAAATATCCCTTACTGTCTCGCAAGACGTATTTGTACCATTGTTTCCGGGAATGATGTTAAAACTACTCGCCTTGCTGAACTTAAGAGTTTCCTACTGCATCAAAATTATCCCGAAAAGCTAATTGAAGACAGCATACAGAAGGCGCTAAGTATTAAGCAACTAAAACTGAGAGAAAAGTCTGAAGAAAACAATATGGGGAATAATTTAACTCTAGTATCTACCTTCAACCCTAATCATGAAAAAACATTATCCATGGTTCAAGGATACCTGCCTATTTTGAATCAAAGTATTAAAATGGATAAGATATTAAGCA